ATATAAACATTTTATTTCTCTGCCTAATATAGTCTATAACATTTTAAGAAATCAATGTTTAATTACAAATGATTTGTCCTACATGCCAGCAATACAAAGTGTTGCATTAGTACCGCCAAAACCAAAGGAATTGGTGAGTCCAATACATCTTTTCTCAGTTTTCCATTCCTGTGCCTTTAGTGGAACATAATTGAGATCAAATTCTGGTTCTGTACAATCCAGGTTTAAAGTAGGTGGTAGTTTTTGATAATAACAAGCCAGAGCAGTAAAAGCTGCCTCAACCGCCCCTGCAGCTCCCAACAGATGTCCTGTGGCTCCCTTGGTTGACGAAACTGCAAGGGCAGGTGCATGGTCTTTGAAAAGATGTTTGATAGCTTTGTTTTCAGCAGCATCTCCCAATGGGGTGGAAGTCGCATGTGCGTTGACATAGGATATCTCTTCAGGTTGTACACCTGCGTCTTTTACAGCTGCAGCCATACATCTAATAAAATAAAAGAAGAAATTTATCAAAACTAAGTCTAATTTTAACACAGGAGTCTTTATCTATATAGCTTATGAGAAAGAAAGGAACATATATCCTGGATGAAGAGAATCCTTTGCTCTAATAACAGAACCCAAACTTGGATTACCATATGAGTTAGAATGCTACCTGCATGGAAATAATGAGTCACCCTTAATACTCCGGACTGATTTAACACCATGAGATAAATATACAGGCCTGTGGGTTTTATCATCTCTAATAAAATGTATTTCCACTTTTTTGAATTGATACTGTTCCCTGGGGGAAAAACCATATTGACGCAAGCCTAGAATAGTTCTTCTTCTAGGAATTTTTTTTTTTTTTTATCAGTGGAGCGTGTGTGTATATGTGTGTGTATGTAGTGATTCCAAATGTGGAAAAAAAATTTATAACTATGTTTTAATTTTTTTCTCTCACATTTAAATGTAAAACTTGGCATATTTCCCAATAATCTAAAAATGTCTGCACCATTACTTTGGTGCTTCAAATAACCTTTCAAAATTCTATTTAGGTTTTAAGAATTCTAAATAAATGAAGTACGCTAAGCCAAACAAAACAAACAAACCCAAAAATAAAATATTTCTCTGGAAGAATGTTTGAAAATGTCATGAATGTCAACACCTTCTTTTTTAGTTCCTGATCTCTGGGTTGCATATATTTCCTAAAGAGGCAGCTTAAGGGTATAATTTGAAGTGTGATGAAAAGTCTCACCTAAACATAACTATTTCCCCATCTAGCTGGCTACTATGTTCAAACCTTCTAGCACCAGCAACTATTTACTAAAACTCAAAAGCATAACTCAGGGGTCAGTAAACTATGGCCCTGGCCAGATACTATTTTCACAAATACAGCTGACCCTTGAATAATATGGGTTTGAACTATGTGGGTCCACTTACACGTGGATTTTTTATAGTACTGTACTGTAAATGTATTTTCTCCTCCTTACGATTTTCTTGGTATCATTTCTTTTCTCTAGCTTACCTTATTGTAAGAATACACTATATAATATACAGAACATGTGTTCATTGATTATGTTATCAATAAAGCATTTTGTCAACAGTAGGCTACTAGAAGTTAAGTTTTGGAGGAGTCAAAAGTTATGTATGTTATTTTTGACTGCACAACGGGTCAGTGCTCCTAACCGCTGCATTGTTCAAGGATCAACTGTAGTTTCACTGGAGCATGCCCATTCATTTATTTATAATATCTGGCTGCTTTCACACTACAAGACAGATTTGAATAATTGTGACAGCAACCCTATGGCCCACAAAGCTAAAAAAACTATTTGTCCCTTTACAGAAAAGGTTTGCCCTGGTCAAGTTAACTGGTTAAAACACAATACAATCCAGGGCATCTGGGTGGCTCAGTGGTTGAGCATCTGCCTTTGGCTCAGGGCATAATTCTGGGGTTCCAGATTCAAGTCCCACCAGGAGCCTGCTTCTCCCTCTGCCTGCATCTCTGCATCTCTTTGTGTGTCTCATGAATAAATAAATAATATCTTAAAGAAAAATAAAACATAATATGATCTAAGCCGGCTAGCCTATTAGCTAACACATAAGCAGGGATTTTTTTTTTTTTAACTTAACTATCTCTTCTGCAATATCAACTTGCTTTTCCAATCGTGGTCCTCAGACCAGCAGCATCAGCATCATGGGAGCTTGTTACAAATGGCAGATCTCCAGCAGCATCCTAGGCCTAGAGTCAGAATCTGCATTTTAGTATTCCTGGGTGGTGAAAAGTTAGAAAGTACTGATTTAAGAACAGCAGAACCCTGCTGAAATGGCACAGGGCCCAGACACCACTAGAAGAAAGGGTTAATTATATTGTCTGAGTCTGATGAAGGGCCAAAGAGAAGAACTGTGGGAGGGAGCACCCAAGACAGTTGTTACAACTGGAAGTATGAAAAGTTGGAAAAAACACACATGGCCTTCTCCACAACTTTAAAATCCAATTTTTGTTAAGAATATTCAAATGTGGTGCCTGGGTGGCTCAGTCAGTTAAGCCTCTGCCTTTGGTTCAGGTCATGATCCCAGAATCCTGGGATTGAGCCCCGTGTCGGGCTCTCTGCTCAGCGGAGAGCTTACTTCTCCCTCTCCCTCTGTTTGTGCTTTCTCTCTTTCTATCTCAAAAAATAAATAATCTGGGATCCCTGGGTGGCGCAGCGGTTCGGCGCCTGCCTTTGGCCCAGGGCGAGATCCTGGAGACCTGGGATCGAATCCCACATCGGGCTCCCGGTGCATTGAGCCTGCTTCTCCCTCTGCCTGTGTCTCTGCCTCTCTCTCTCTGTGACTATCCTAAGTAAATAAAAATTAAAAAAAAATAAATAAAAATAATAAAAATAAAATAAAATTAAAAAAAAAAACTTTTAAAAAAAAGGAATGTCAAATATACCAAGCATGTTAAAGCAAAGAATTCAAAGCCATTTTGTTTAGTCTAAAATGGAAAAACATCAAAGATACTGTACACCAAGGGCAGATACTACAATACTGGACTCCCTAGTTTGAAAGTCTAATAAAACGTCTCATTTGGAGAAATATTTTAAATAAAACAACAAGTCTTGGGGCACTTGAGTGGCGCAGTTGGTTGAACAGCCCACTCTTGGTTTCAGCTCAGATGGTGATCTCAGGGTCCTGGAATCAACATGGATTCTGCTTGGGATTCTCTCTCCCTCTGCTCCCTCCCCTCCACCCCATGGTCTCTCTTTCTCTCTCCTTCTCAAATAGATAAAATAAATCTTTAAAAAAAAAAAAAAAGGCTTTACCTTAAGGCTCCTTCTCCTTCAGGGTCAGGTGCAGTTATGTGACCAGCATCACCTGAAAGTCCATAGCCCAAAACTTCTGCATAGATCCGCGCTCCTCGTTGAACAGCATGATCATATTCTTCCAGCACCAGCACAGCTGCACCTTCTCCCATGACAAACCCATCTCTCTTTGGGTGAAACGGTCGACATGCCAACTTAGGATCAGGGTTTGTGCTCAGAGCACGGGCTCTGGAAAACCCAGCGAGAGACAGAGGACTAATGCAAGAATCTGTCCCTCCAGCCACCATCACATCAGCATCACCTTGGGCTATAAATCTGAAAGAGTCTCCCACAGCGTGGGCTCCTGTGGTACAGGCTGTAGACACTGCATGATTGGGGCCCTTGAGTTTATATCGAATGCTGACCTGGCCTGCTGCCATATTGACCAAAATCTTAGGGACAAAGAATGGGCTGACTTTACTGTAACCTTTTGTCTGAAACATCAAAGCAGTTTCAGAAACAATTTCAAGAGGAACCATCCCCATGCCAATTGCAACTCCAGTAGCCGCTTGATCAGCCTCTGATTGAGGGAGCCAGCCGGAATCTTTCATGGCTAACTCTGCAGCTCCAATGGCCATAATGGTGGGAGAAGACATGGACTTGATATCGGATTTGGACACAAAGTTTTGTTCATTGAACTGACCTTCATCACAACCTCTTGGCACATAAGCAGCAACACTGCAAGGGATACTCTTATACTCCTCACCGACCAGTGACATAATTCCACTCTCTCCTCGGATAAGACGATCCCATACCAGCTGAGTTCCAACACCCAGAGGCGTCACTAAGCCGATGCCTGTAATGACAACCCGCCTACGAAATCTGGACGTCGGCTCGGTTCCGAAAAGCCGCCTTTTGCCTCCTATTAATGGCTGGCATGATCTTGAACATAGATGAGGGCTCGTGACTTTTAAGAAATTCTGCAAGCAGTCTGACAACATGGTTGAGACTCAGATGATCAGAAACACTCACACTACTTGAGGGCCTAGGATACAATAGCCGAAACCTCCACTCAGCCGCTGGGTGTGAGCTGTTAATGAACACAAGGAAAATAACGTTAACATCACTACAATTCATGCTTATCGAACCGTTGGGAGTTCCCTTTTTTAGGCTGAGTACCCTCAGACATTCCGAGACAAAGGTGAAATGATGGTTCATTCAATTCACAACACAATTACACCATGAACAATAAAAAGGCACTCCCGGCCTTTCACGGACTGCAGGCAGCATCCTCGGTCAGCATCCCTGAGGCCTTATCCTAAGGAGTATTTCTGGCGTCAGTGCGACAAGAACAATCCTCCAGGGCCTATTCTTTGAGTTAGGGGTGTGAGCTTTACTGATCATCAAAACGTGGAGATCATTTGGTTTTTAATCCGGGGTCGGGGGTGGGGGGGGTGGGGGTGGGAGTGAGACGATGTGGCCACCGCCTCTAAAGCACCACCACACGCGCACACACCCGAAGGACGCCGAGGGAAAAGGAAACCAGGCCCGGGTCATCAGACTCCCCTTTCCCGAGGCAACCCCCACCCGATCGGCGGTGGAGGGGCGGGAGGAGGAGAGCCGCAAGCAGCGGATACCTACGCGAGGCCCGGCGCCGGCCGCGCAGCCGCCGTCTGCGCCGGCACGTCCGCGCATGCGCGCGCGCGCGCGCACTGCGTCTGGGCGGGGCGTGGCCCGCGGCCCTGCCTCCGCGTCACCTTGGTGGAGGTCAGACCGCGGGAGGCGGCGGGCCCGGGTGGCCGGGGACGAGCCGCCCCGCGCGAGACCTCAGTGACTGGGAGACCGAGAACGTGCACGGAACGCGATGAGATGGCCGGTTTTGCCCATCGGAGAAGGATTCGGGGGCGGGGGAGGGCGGGTGACTATGATGTCCAAATCGTTCCGTCTGCTGGGAGAAGGGACGCCGTCATCTTCTACTGAAAGCCGTGGAAAGCATTAAGGAAATTGCTGTAGCCTCCCAGTTACTCCGGTTCCTCCCACACTTGTTTATAATGGTAAAGTAGGACTAGCCGAAGCGCCCAACATCAGGAAATGGCTTATTTTGTAGTACACCTAGAGGCTGTGCAGCCATTTAAAATGATTTTGGGAAAAAAAATAATGAAATGATTTTGTAAGTGAATGTTCTATGGAGAGATGTTGAAAGCACATCAGGAGGTAACAGGTTACAGAATAGTATATATACCTTTTAAAAAGATGTTTATATTGAGATCTGCAGGGATGTGCAATGATTGTGAAGTTCCTTTTCCCATTTTTGCTTAGTCTTCTTTACTATCTCTTCTACGATAAATAATACTTTTTGTAATGATAATAAGCTGTTTTTTACTTTTCGAAAATTATTGGATCTGGGGCAGGGCTCGAAATGCCAGACGCAATGTCTAACAGGGATGGAGACAAGAAAATAGATGGTAGACCTTTAAAAAACAAGAAAGTAGTAAGGTATGTATTTGCTCAGATGCTATCCCAGGTGTCAGGTTTGTGTCCTTTTTATTCTTTTTTAGATAAAAGATTGATGATGTAATGTGCATTTGATCCTCCCAGCCATATTGTGTCTTTCTGGACAGTGTCTCTTGAAATGATCGTTTCCGAGTGCTCTGCCTTCTTTCCCAGCTCTGGAGAATTTTGGTCAAGCTTAGCTTTTCCAGGTTACTACTGGATTTAAATGAATTTGAAAGTGTACTTTGCCTAAAATAGTTTAGGAAAGCTAAATATGACCTTGAGTCTTCTGTGATCAAAGGCCTGTTTGGTTATTTCTTAGTATGACTTATCATTCATTAACTATAAGAGAGATTAAACAAACACATGTGGTAATAAAATAACTAAAATTTGGTGAGTGAGAAATACCCAATCTTACTGTCCCTTTTCATTGTAATACACTATGTTGAAATTATAATGTGAGAGACTTAAAATATACTTTTTGAACCCAAACTCTATAAAACAGTTTTTTGTTTTGTTTTGTTTTGTTTTTTAAAGATTTCATTTAGGCACACCAGGGTGGCTCAGCAGTTGAGCATCTGCCTTCGGCTCAGGGCGTGATCCTGGAGTCTCAGCATCGGGTCCCACATCGGGCTCCCTGTAGGAAGCCTGCTTCTCCCTCTGCCTGTGTGTCTCTCGCTGTCTCTCATGAATAAATAAATTAATTAAATAAATAAATAAAAATGTCTATGATATTCCAATAGCTGTAAAATGATTTAGTACCATATTTCTTGCTAGTGATGCTGATCTAACCACTGCTGTAAACTCATTATGACTTCCATGAAAGAAGGGCCCATGCTTATCAGATTCCCTGCTTCACAGTACCTAGCATAGTGCCTGGCATTTAGTAGCCACCTCACAAATCTTTGGTGAATGACTGAATTATGAAATGAATGAATAAACATACACTTCTATCAGTTAGTGTTTTGTGTGTTTTTACCAAATGACTTATTTTCTTTTCACAGTACCTGTTTCATCAGCATAAGGGCTATTTGTATGTAAGGTATGATCATCGATTTTGTCTTTCCTAGTAGATTATAAATCTTTTATGTTCACCATCAGACTGCTTTGTACACAACAGGTGCTCAATAAATAATTGTTGGTTAATCACTTAAGCAATCACACAGTAGTGAATTACCATACCAGTTCGTGAAAAGTTACAACCTCTCTCCATGTTACAGTCTTCACTGAGGTCAATGTTTTATTTTTTATGTCAAAACTGATCCTGGGGAAATTTAACAGGTTATTTCTTTTTTCTGTTCCATTTAAGAATAGTGCCACCATGTGTCAACTCTAACCTTGGTGTGCTTAATAAAACTGGAATCCTGAAAAAAAAAAAAATCATTATTTTGTAGGAAAAAAAATCAAGTAAAAGAATGGAGAAACTTCAATGCTGATTTAATAGAAGAAAACCTTTTAGTTGAAGCAATTGTATGTATAAAGAGGTTAAGAGTAGCTTACTATCTCCAATTTTTCTAAAGGAACTGGAAAATCAAAATATTTTCAACTTAGTGGAAGAAGCAGACAGGAAAAAGAACAAGTCAAAGTCCCTTATAATAAATTCTCTTAACAACACATAAATGGTGGTATCCAAGAGAGATTGTACTCAAGAACTTCAACAGGAGTTTCGGTAAACAGGAATTTGGAATGATTTAAATTTCAGGTGATTTAAAATAAGCAATAACTTACTGAATTACCCTTGAAATGATTTCTATGATTTTTTTTGACTGTGCATTATTATCACAGTATTAACTCTATGGCATTGGTTTTGACACTGTTTGCATGTCCCCCAAAAAGATGCTTTCTAGTCATTATCTCTGTCAGGAGACAGGCTAAGCTAACGGCATTCTGTCCCTCCCACTCCCCATGCTCTCCTGCTTCAATTCTAGAGCATCTCTCCACTTTGGTTATACATACTGGGTTTCCTCCTAAGAATCTATTTGAAAAAAAAAAAAGTGTCTTGTTACTTTTAAAAAATCAAAATACTATATAGTATATAATAACCTTAAGCTATTCTAAGGATAAATGTGAAAAAAGAGACTCAAATTAAGGTGAATATAGTTGGTGATTAGAGACATCTAGCTATAATTCTATAGCCCCCCTCCCCACACCTTTCCATCCTTTGAAATTGTGGATAATACGTATGTAGCTGGAGACTACATTTCCCAGCCTTCCCTCTTTTATCTAAACGGGGCTTCATTTTTTCCAATTATATGGTAGAGAAAATGCTGTATGTCATTTTGGGCCCATGTGGTTGATTAGGTATGCCTTCTTTCTGCCCAACCACCAACTAAATGCAGAAGCCTTTGTGGCTCAATGGCAGGAGCTAAACTACAGGCCAAATCCAGTGGGCTGCCTGTTTTTGTAAACAAGAGTTTGATGGGAATGTAGCCATGTCCATTCATATTGGAGTACTGTCTACAGAACTACAGATGCAGAGGCAGAATTAAGAGTTTGAAAAGGAGACCCTGGGTGCCTGGGTGGCTCAGCGGTTGAGCACCTGCCTTCGGCCCATGGCGTAATCCTGGAGTCCCGGGATTGAGTCCCACATCAGGCTCCCTGCCTGGAGCCTGCTTCTCCCTCTGCATACATTTCTGCCTTTCTCTCTGTGTGTCTTTCATTAATAAATAAATAAAGTCTTTTAAAAAAGAATCAGAGACCCTATGGCCACAAAGTCTTAAACATTTACAATCTGGCCCTTTACAAAAAAATGTTTATTGACCTCTATTTTACAGGATGGAAGGAGCCTGGGAGCCTGAATGGGGGAAAGTTGTCCAATGACTAAGGACACCTGCTTTTAAAACTGTTATGTGAGCAAGAAAGATTTCTGTTAAGTCACTGAAAATTTTAGTGATAGCAGCTAGTAACAGCTATCAGTTAAACACTAGTCTTAGAAGTTGGTCCCCAAACCTACATATTAAAAACTTTTCCCACGTATCTAGCAGATGAATGGTAATTGAAGTGCATGGCATAGTTCAAGCACTTCCTCTGAGATACTGGAGGAAAACTTCAAATTTAAAAAGCAAACAGAAGATAAATCATCAAGAACATTTAAATAAGCTACTTACGCAAATAATTTACCTTAAAAACATAAGGTCAAGAAAAATATTTGTTGAGGTTTGGAAAGATATGTCTGCAAAGAAGGAAGCCATTGGCAAATTACCTTTTTCTTTTTTTAAAAAAGATTTTATTATTTATTCATAAGAGACACACAGAGAGGCAGAGAAATAGGTAGAGGGAGAAGCAGGCTCACTCCTGGGAGCAGGATGTGGGACTTGATCCCAGGACCCTAGAATCACGCCCTGAGGCAGGGGACACGCTCAACCACTGAGCCACTCAGGCACCCTGGTAAAGTATACTTTTAACATTGAGAGGCAGAAAACGGATTAAAGAAGTTAGGATTCATCTTCTAAAAGTAATAAAAAAACATTAATCACTTGATCTACCTGTGATACAAAGTCATAAAATAATACCTACCCCCTTACTATGCAAGATGCGTATTTTTACTACTCCCCCTCCCATTTTATTCTATTTTGTCCTTATGGTATGTTTTATGCTGGTCGCTACATGATAAATGGAGTCCACAACCTACTATGTTGCAACCTGCGGTTTGAAAACTACTTCTCTATAGAGACCTCATTAGTATTTGAATGGTACTTACGAAAAAGATTTTTTTATTCATGAGAGACACAGACTGAGAGAGAGGCAGAGACACAGGCAAAGGGAGAAGCAGGCTCCATGCAAGGAGCCCAATTTAGGACTCAATCCCAGGTCTCCAGGATCACGCCCTGGGCCGAAGGCAGGCGCTAAACCGCTGAGCCACCCAGGGATCCCCTATGAGAAAGATTCTTCATCATACATCATTCATCTATGTGCCAGAAACCCAGCAGGGTCTACAGACACCCATTGGGCTTTGAACATTTTGTTGCTCCTAGCTTCTGGGGTCTTCCAACTACACGTTATCTCGGAATGCCTGGCAGTCTGCGAGGAGGGGTCCTGCGGGGGAGGGGTGGTTGTACCAGGGGGTCCCCCCACCTTCGTAGCTGGATGAATCGAAGGCCAGGCTGGCGCGCGTTAGGCTCCGGGTTTCGGGACACGCGGGCCAGCACAGGGCAGCATCCCCCCTCCCAGGGAGCCAAAGCCCCCGGCCCTACAACCAAGCACCCCGCCCCTTGTTTCCGAGCGGAGCCGGGAGGCCGGGGAGACGCCGCCCCAGTCCCTGCAGGTCCAACTCCCCGCCCTTCCCCGCCCAGGCCCCGCCCTTCCCCGCCCAGGCCCCGCCCCTCCCCGCCCAGGCCCCGCCCCTCCCCGCTCAGGCCCCGCCCCCGGCCCGCCGGGCCCCGCCCCTCCCGGCCCGCCGCGGAGTCGGCCGCGCGCTGTGGCGCCTGCTCAGTGCGGCACCGCGGCGCGCGAGGGGCGGCGACGGCCGCGGGCGCTCAAGCATGGCGGCGGCGGCGCTGGGCAGCTCGTCGGGCTCCGCGTCCCCGGCGGTGGCCGAGCTGTGCCAGAACACCCCGGAGACCTTTCTGGAGGCCTCCAAGCTGTTGCTCACCTATGCGGACAACATCCTCAGGTGCGGAGCTGAGGAGTCGCACCGGGGCGCCAGGGCGGGCGGTGAGGGGCGCCTGGTCGGCCTGGGTTTGGGGTCGCCGGGCTCGGGCCCCTCCAGGGTGGCGAGGCGCGGAGGGGCCGGGGGCCTGGGCCGGAGCGCGGCGCAGCGTCGGAGCCTACCTGCCCGGGGCCTGGCGGCGCGGCCGGGCCCTCGCGCCGGAGAGGAGCAAGTTTCTTTGCACTTGTGACTCGGCACCTGATGTCGGGGTGCTCTGGGGGTGAACTGGAGGTCGCGAGGAGGGCGCAGGGCGGAGGCAGGTGAGAAGGCGTGCCCGGAACGCTGGCCTCCCTTCGCGTTGTTAACTGTCTTCCCGTCGCTCGGAAACGGTCATGGTTCATCCCCGCTGCGTGGCTTTCACCGAACGTGGTGCTGTAAGTCGCCGCAGGATTGTGAGAAGTCAGTCCCCGGCGGAATCCGCCCCGCGCTCCAGCGTTTTGTGAAGACCTTGATAGTAAAGCATACTACTCAAGTGGGGGGTCTTTCCTTTCCTTTCCTTCTTTTCTTTTTTTCTTTTTTCTTTTCTTTTTTATGGTCTTTTCGTGCCCACTGTCACTGACTGAAATATTATTAGCCATATTAAAGTTACAGTTTTCATATTAATACCTGTAATTCCACTTTCCAGCGTGACCTTTTAGATAAGAATTAGTGAAGAGTACCTTGGCGGAGAGTACTTTGTTTCATGCTCCTGCGAGCAGAAGTACACTCGTAGGTCCTCAAGGGACCCTTACAGATTTGGGGAATTGGGAGACAAGTTTGGTTATTCATTTTGAAGCGTTATCCACTTCAGTTCTTAGATCCCATCATGTGGTGGCTTGTGTGGGGGAGGGAAATGGAGCCAAAGTTAAAGGACCTCCAGGTGCCAGGTACTTGAGTGGGGTTACCTCATTCATCAGGTCCCCATGGTTACTATCTAGGTTCTCTCTCCCACCTTACCCCTGGGGCACACTTGTTCTCCTAAGTGGCAGGTATATTGGCATGAAATCTAAAAGGAAACTCTTGATTGCAAGGTTATAATAGATTTAATGTGACCCAATTTTAGTGACCCTGGTTACTAGTGTTTTAACTCCTAGCATTTCATTGTTCGTGGCAATATATTGTTCACAGAGGTGACATTAAGGATTTTAAAAGTAAGTTGAAGGGAAAATGAACCTTTATTATTTACCAAATGCTATAAGGGTTGTACAGCATATGCAGTGTACACAGTTACACGATTGTGACATATGTAGAGACTGCCTTTCTCCTCTATGACACCATCTCAACTCACCTCTCCCCTTGAGTCTAACAGCTCTTCAAAGTACAGGATTAAAAAAACAACAACAACAACAACAACAAAGTACAGGATTGCCTGTGGACTCTGCATAAATGAACTCCTAAGCCGAGTCCTCCAGATCTTATGAGCTGGGACCTTCAACCTGGAAAGCCACCAAACTATTTAAACCCTATTATTCAGAAAAGGGAAGTGGCCTTGTAATAAGATTCACTTCTGCTTTTAATTTAGTGAAACCCAAAATGCTAAGATCAAGGTGTTTTGAGGAAGGAAAACCTTTGCATGCAAATAATGACCTGGCATCATAATCACTATTATGAATATTTATCAAACTCATAGAAGGAACTTCACATGCTGTCAGTTCATGTTGCGGTCTTAACTATGGCTTATGTTTCTGATCTTGAAAAGTGTTTTTTTTTTTTTTTTTTTGATCTTGAAAAGTTTTTAATCTAAAAAGGGAATTAGTGTGGAACTCATAATTCGAGATGGTATGAAAAGCTACCCTTGTTAATTTAAGTACAGGTATGCCTTGTTTTATTGCTCTTCACTTCATTGTGCTTTGCAAGGACTGTTTTTCATAGATTGAAGGTTTGTGGTGTTGAGCCAGTCTGTCAGTGCCATTTTTTCCAATAGCTCACTTTATATCTCTGTGTCACATTTTGGTAATTCTTGTAATATTCAGACTTTTTCATTATTGTATTTGTTGTGATCTGTGAGCTCTTCTTTTAATTGAAATATAGTTAGACACACACGGTCACATTAGTTTCAGTAGTACAATGTAGTGATTCCACAAGTGTACATTATGCTCTGCTCAGGAGTATAATTATCTCTCACATACAATTCTGTTATAATACCATTAACTATATTCCCTATATACCTTTTATCTCCATGACTTTTTTTAAGTGAGCTCTGTGCCCAGTGTGGGGCTTGAACTCATGACCCTAAGATCAAGAATCACATGGTCAACTGACTGAGCCAGCCAGGTGCCCACCCCAACCCCCACGACTTATTTATTCCATAACTGGAAGCCTATGTCTCCTACTCTCCTTCACCAATTTTGCCCGTCCCACACTCCCTTCCCTACCCCCACAAACATCATTTGTACTCTATTTGTTTGATTCTGTTTTTTGTTTGTTTTGGGTTTTTATCCATATGTAAGTGAAAAAATACAGTATTTGTCTTTCTGTGTTTGACTGAGTGACTGACTTGTCATAATACTGTCTAGGTCCATCCATGTTGTTGCAGGTGGCAAGAGCTAATTCTTTTTTTATGGCTGAGTAATATTCTGTTGTATATACATATACCACATCTTATTTATCCTGTGACCAGTTATCTTTGATGTTAATATTGTTTTAGGGTGCACCAATTGCACCCACATAAGATGGCAAACTTAATCTATAAATGCTATGTGTGTTCTGACCGCTCCACCCATTGGTCCTTTCCTGTCCGTCTTTTCTTTAGGCTTCCCTGTTTCCTGCAACGCAATAATAATTGAAATTAGGCCAATTAATAACCCTGCAATAGCCTAAGTGAAGTGAAAGGAAGGGGTGCTTGTCTCTTACTTTAAATGCAAAGCTAGAAATGATTCAGCCTAGTGAGGAAGGCATGTCAAAATCCATGCTAGCCCAAAAGCTAGGCCCATTGTGCGAAGCAGCCAAGTTGCAAATGCAAGAGAAGTTCATGAAGAAAATTAAAAGTGCTACTGCAGTGAACACACAAATGGTGAGAAAGTGAAACAGCCTTAACGCTACTAATATAAAAAGGTTTCGTGGTCTAGATAGAAGATCAAGCCAGCCACAACATTCCCCTGAAAACCCAAAGCCTAATCCTGAGCAAAGCTCAGCCTCTTCAGTCCTGTAAAGGCTGAGAAAGGTGATGAAGTTTGAAGAAAAAAGTTGCGGGCTAGCAGGGGAGTTTAAGGGCAGAAGCTGTCTCCATAACACAAAAGAGCAAGGTGAAACAGTAAGTGCTGATGAGGAGCTACAAGTTATCTAGAAGACCTAGCTAGGATAATTTGTGACTATGGCTACACTGCAATAGATTTTCAGTGTGCACCAAATAGCCTTCTATTGCAAGAAGGTGCCATCTAGGATTTCATAGCTAGAGAGGAAAAGTCAATGTCTGGCTTCAAAGGACAGGCTGATTCATATGTTAGGTGGTGGCTTTAAGTTGAAGCCAGTGCTTATTAACCATGTTGAAATTCCTAGGGCCCTTAAGAATTATGCTAAATCTATTTGGTGTACACTTTATAAATGGAAAAAACAAAGCCTGGATGGCAGTACATCCGTTTGCCATGCAATTTACTGACTATTTTTAGGTCACTGTTGAGATCTACTCAGAAAAAGATAGCTTTCAAAATATTATTGCTCATTGACAATGTATCAGGTCACCTAAGAGCTCTGATGGAAATATATTATGACATACTGTTGTTTTCATGCCTGTTTACACAGCATCCATAACTGCAGCCCATGGGTCAAGGAGTCATTTGGACTTACAAGTCTTTTATTTTAACAATTATATTTTATAAAGCTATAGCTGCCGTAGATAATGATTCCTCTGATCAATCCCGGCAAAGTTGAAAACCTCTTGGAAAGGATTCTAGATGCCATTAACATTTGTGTTCATGGAAGGAGGTCAAAATAACAATAATAGGAGTTTGGAAGAAATTGTTTCCAACCCTCATGGATGACTTTGAAGGATTCAAAACCAGTGAAGGAAGTAACTGCAGATGTGGAAATAGCAAGAGAACTAGAATTAGAAGTGGAGCCTGAATATATAGCTAAATTGCTGCAATCTCATGATAAAACGTTCATGGATGAGGAACATTGCTTTTTATGGATTAGCAAAGGAAGTGGTTTCTTGAGATGGAATCTACTCCTGGTGAAGATGCTGTGAAGATTGTTGAAATGATGACAAAGAATTTAGAATATAACAAACTTTGTTGATAAAACAGTGGCAGGGTTGAGAGACTTTATTCTAATTTTTTTAAAGATTTTATTTATTTATTCATGACAGAGAGAGAGAGGCAGAGACACAGGCAGAGGGAGAAGCAGGCTCCATGCAGGGAGTCTGACGCGCGACTCGATCCCGGGTCTCCAGGATCACGCCCTGGGCTGAAGGCGGCGCTAAACCGCTGAGCCACCCGGGCTGCCCAGTTGATTCTAATTTTGAAAGATGTCTGTCAAGCAGCATTGCATGCTACAGATAAATTGTTCATAAAAGGAAGAATCAATTGATGTGGCAAACGTACTGTCTTTTTTTTAAGAAATTGCCACAGCCACTCCAACCTTTAGTAACCATCAACATCGAGGCAAACCTTCCCCCAGAAAAAAAGATTAGAACTCACTGAAAGTTCATATAGTACTTAGCATTTTCAAGCATTAAGGTACTGTTTAATTAAGGTATGTACAACTTTTTTAAACATAATGCTATTAAATACTTAAAAGACTACATACAGTACAGTATAAACATAACTTTTATATGCAGTGGGAAATTTTAAAAATTATTTTGACTTGCTTTACTGCAATTTTCTCTTTATTACAGTTGTCTAGACACAAACCTATAATATCTCAGTGGTGTGTTTGTAATAGTATTAGTCCCTATTCTCATATTAGAATGAAAACTCCTTTAGGCTTCAGGAAGACTCTTCTATTTCTAAGTCCAGTGACATATTAACCTCTTAACAGAAAAGCTC